TATGATATTCTTTTTAACTTGGAAGTAATATTTATTATGTTATAGAAATAAATGGCAACCCTATTCATAAGTAATATATCTTTATTTCGGTGTCTCAAAACTACTTTAATTTGATATTCATATTGTTACATAATAAATATCCACAACCTGATCTTTTTTATTGACTTTTCAAAAGTTTTCCTTGTATTCTTAAAAAGTTTATGGCAACCCTATGAACATATTTATGTTAATAAATTATGTTTTAAATAGATAATCTCACTATTAATTTTTTTAAATTTGAAATAATTTCCATTTTGTTTTAGTAATAAATGGCAACCCTATTCATAAATAATATATTTTAATTTCGGTTTCTCAAAACTACTTTAATTTGATGTTCATTTTATTATATTTTCCGATAATACTTCGCAATAAATATCCACAACCTGATCTTTTTTATTGACTTTTCAATAGTTATCCTTGTATTCTTGAAAAGTTTATGGCAACCCTATTCATATAATAAAAATTATTATGTTTTAAATAGATTATTTCACTATGATATTCTTTTTAACTTGTAAGTAATTTTCAATATGTTATAGAAATAAATGGCAACACTATTCATAAATGATATGTCTTAATTTCGATTTCTCAAACCAACTTTAATCTGATATTCATTATGTTACATTTTCCGATAATACTTCGCAATATATATTTTCAACCTGATCGTTCTTGTTACCTTTTAAATAGTTTGCATTACTTTCTCAAAACTATGATGGCAACCCTATTCGTGTATTAATTTTAATTGTATTATTATTATTATTGTATTGAATATTTTCAAATCTTTCTATTTCTATTCTATTCTATTGATATTTTTGTGAGCAATGGCAACCCTGTCCATCAATATATTTTATATTTTTAAGGTGCTTGCTTTCGATAGCCTCACTCAGAATTTTTTTCAAACCTATACATATTTTTTTCATTGCAAATAATTTTGAAAACGTTTTGAAAAAAAGTGGCAACCATATTCACAAATGCATCTTAATTGATTAAAAATTTGCGTATTATTTTTATATTAATACACATATTAATCTTTTTTTAAGTATGGCAATTTTACGAATTAAAACCACTATTTTTAATAAATTAAAAAAGCCACAAACATCTTTTCTTGGAATGCACCGAGCATAACAAATGCTTACTGCTGGCTGTTTGCTGGCCAAATGTTATGCTGCCTATGAGTGTATTTGCGCAAATACGTGTATATGCGCATACATACATATGTACATTGTACTTCATACGCCATGGCAGGCAGGCAATGCAAACATTGCGCCAAGCTAAAGGCATTTGTATGTACATATGTACTGTATGTGTATGTGTATGTGTATATGAGAAAAATATGAAATATACTAAACATACAATAAACGGCGACAAAAGCCTGGCGGGCTGACTACCTCACTGGCTCACTGACTGGTATTGTGATTCGAGCATTAAGCCGCAAGCGTGGCGCTGAATGCGTTGGTGTACAGAGTACTCGCATGTATGTAGGTGAATTTATATATGAAGCTATACAAATACATTGGTATGTATGTATATATTATATGTATATATGTATTTTTGCAGTACAATATAAAATCATCTTTGATTTTATTTTTCGTACAAATAAAATTTTTTTTGCTTCTCTTTCTATTACTTTATTTGAATTTGAACATATTTGCTGCTGCTTCTTCTCATTTTTTTCTTTTTTTTGTAGATTGTACAGCGCTTTTGTACATCTGTCGCGGCTGCCATGCTGTGTGAGAATAGCGCAAATACTCTACAATTTGTTTATATTAAAAATTTGCATTATTTGACTGCATGCGCCATTGATACTTGTTACATATATGTATGTATGTATGTATATTTCTATGGCTGTGTGACCTGCCTACGCGATCCCGGTCCGGTTTTAAAAAAAAAAAAACGTACTGTTCTATCCATATTTATTTATAAATATACATATACATACACATATACTTGTATATTTGCACTGCACTCATCCTCACACACACATACACACACACACACACAGACACACAACAAAAGTATATTTCTTTGCAAACATTCAAAAGAATAAGTGATGCAATTGTCGTAACTGTGCAATTGTTTACTTCAGTTGTTGCTGTAGTATTTGTGCACATATATACACATGTATAAATGTATGTGTGTATATAAATGTGTAGCCTTTGCAGATTTGTCACATGAAATATGTTGCCGTTGCAGCAAATAAAAATGCCATAAATTTTAATATTTTTCTACGAGCAAATGCACATACATCTTTCTAAGCATACACGTGTATGTATGTGTGTGTGTGTTATTTATTTATGTCTAGTTCTTCATATCAAATTTGCGTATAGATGTATGTATACGTTTTTTCAACTTCTTACATTGTATTTCAGTGCACTCAACATTGTGGTAAGTTTGAATTATGGTAAGAATTTTGCCAAACATTTTGATCATTAGCCTAATTTTAGGCGCAATATTTCTTTATTAAACTTTATTGGAGTTAGTTCGGTGTTGTTTACAAAAAAAATCTAAAACTTGGTTTGGTGAGCCCGCTTTGAGTAAAGTAAGAGTTTGCGGGTGACATAAGAATTCGCAAGAAGAGCGTGGAGATGTTGTAGATGAGGCCCTCCCTGGACGCCTTGGACACGCCAACACATCAACAACCGATGAAAACACTGGAAAAAATTAAACGAACCAAACACAATTAGAGAAAATGCTTAAGATTTTGGCGTATCCCTTAGACAGTCATGGGTCAGTTTTTCCAATGATTCGGGTATGAAACGAGTCGCAGTAAAATTTTTACGAAAATTGCTAAATTCAAAAACAAAAAAGTATCGGCGAATCGAAATTGCTCAGAAGTCACTCAATGAAGAGACTTGATGTATTGATGGTTAAACCAAAGCTCAATCATTGCAGTTTATGGCATCGCTGCAAGAACTAAAGACTAAAGACTTAAAGACCGAGTTTTAGCAACCTCTTTGGCGATGTGAGTCCGCGTTAGCTCAGGTATGAAATAATCAAATGGGGACTATTTTAAGACGACATCAACCCTTTAGACGAGTAAGTCAACATTTTGCTTAAACATTAAAATTTCGATAATTCTCAAACACACTCGCACATATATTTATTTAAATATATAACTGTCTACACCCAGTTTAAATTGTGGTAGGTATTTTCCATGTTTCATCAACAAATGGAAGGTCCCAGAGTTAATTCTAAGCCCCCACCGAACAGCATTTGAGTAGCATTTATTTAATTTCGAAAATATAATCAGAGAGTATGAGATGCCGTATCGAGGGGCGACCGTAATTCGAAAAACTAGTTTTTTAAGTTAAAGTTCTCCAACTGTTGGTGTTGGTGTGGCCAGCGCTCTAGCGCACGAACTTCCACTTGATAGCATACACGGCCTCTACTACTACCCTACTAATGCAGAGGCCAAGAAGAAACATAGAACCTGTTACTTACCTGGTACTATAGACGTTGTTTTGAGGAACAGTCCATAACTCTAGCCTGTCAACTACTTTGAGATGTTGAGATTTGCAAATCATATTATTTGACCTCTTAAGTGTGTGTATAAATTCGAAAGGGAAGGAGCGATAGAAGTACAATATTTGAATAAAGGGTGGAAATTTGCTTATTGGATAGAACTCGGCGTGAACTCCGTGATAAAATCCCTTCAAGCGAACTACAACGCATTTAGGCTGAACGCGGCCTAATCTTGGAGGTATTGCACTACAGAATCCCGATCAAGAGAGAATGGAGAAATGTATTGTAAATGCTTCAGGCCAGAGATCTCTACACTGATGGTACTAAACTAAAAAGAAAAGTCAGGCTGCGCTCTCAATAAATTTGAATTTTGGACCACCAGATCACCTCAGCCGTCTACGGAAGTCGGTGATTAGCTACTTTTAAATCTTCGGCTACAGCTCAAACAATCAATACTCGTACAGCCAAGCTACTCTAGGATATCTTAGATGCAATTATTGGATGAGTGCATAAGTTCGTGCCCGATTCCGCTGGAAGCCGTTCGAATCGTTTGAGAGTGGCGCTCGTGAAAGAAATATATACATATTATATATCGTTGGAAAGGTGACAGTCCGAACTGTAAATCAAGCATAAAATAACTTCATTTTCATTTGAGTTGCTTAATGAAAAGACGCATGGAAGATGGACAACGAAAAAGATCATATGCGTCATATTATGTTATACGAATTCCGCAAAGGAAAAACAGTAGGCGCTGCAACTAAAGATATTCGCGAAGTTTATTTGGACCGTGCTCCAGCTCTCCGCACAGTAAAGAAATGGTTCGCGAAATTTCGTTCTAGAGATTTTAATCTCGAAGATCAACCTCGCAGTGGACGGCCTTCTGAGCTTGATGACGATGTTCTAAGGACTTTAGTTGCGCATCATCTCAGCAACAGTAGCAAAAGTACTATAAACAAACACACGGTTAATGCAGGAACATGCCATGCAACAGTTTTTGGTTTAACGATTCAGTTTGACAGACATCAAAGCAGACAGATATCACAGCTCTTTACTTTTGAAACCACGAAATGAAAAACCCTATATATTATTAATTGACGAATTTTTACAAATTATACTATTTTTGGCCAAGAAATACTACGATTTGATGTATTTTTCCTACAAATACAATAGAGGGACCAATAGTTTGATCCCCCGATGACACTCAAATGAAACATTCTGCAAGCACATTTATGGCATATTTTCAACTTTATTTATTAAAAAAAAAATGTTCGCTTCACAATACATGTGCTCTTTTAAAATGGCTGATGCTTTGCGCAGATATTCCCTTAAACATAAATATGCATTAAAATGTTCCATTAGACATATACTTTTTGCTTTAAACACTATTGAGTAAATTAATATATTATATTAAGGCAATAATCGATTGAATATTTTTTACACATTTTACACAACATTTTTGTCCAATTTTTTATTCTAAATGTATAATTATGACTTAATTACAATAAATTAAAATAAAACGCAGAATTATTTTTAAAATTTTTTTGTTTAGTTCTCTCTTTTCTGTTCCTTTTTTAATACGCAATAAATAATTTTGTTAAATAAAAACTAACTTAAATATATTAGATTTCAGTAAATGTCCGTTTCTAGTAAGCGAATGCTTGTTGTTAACTTTTTATAAAAATTAATATTTTACACTTTTCTGAAATTTGTTTCAATTTACGCCAATTAATATATCTTTGAAACGTAAAGAGAATTTTTTTTTGGTACCGAAAATTCAGGTTTATTCCAATTTTAAAGAAGTTAGTTAACAATCTGATTATATCACATTGGAAGTTTAACGAATTCATTTTTTTTTTTCTAAATTTTTTTCTTTTTCATTTGAATATGAATTTTTGTCATTGCAATTTATTAACTCTTTCCTTAAAATAAAATACATGGTCATTGAATTTTTTTTTAGTTTTTTACATTACATATTTAATTTACAATTATTTGCTTATTATGCTTGTCCGTAGTATACTAAAGATTTTCTGATTTTTCGTTTTTGTATCACAATATTTGTTTTTGTTTTTACATGCGAAATATCGCTTTACTTTTACTTATATATATACATATATCTGCCTTCACTTAGTTAAAATTTCCCAAGAGTAAATTCTCGTATTAAACACACCTCATTATAACGGTCACCAGTGCTCGACATCTCGTATGCGGTTTAATGGTGGGTTACTGAAAAATTTAAAAATAAAAATACAATTTTTTATTAGAAAAAATATATTTAAAAAGTGTTAATTAATTAATCCTAATATATCTCCACGTCAGCCACTCGTAATTCAATCAGTTGTAGGTATATGCATCAGCTTGTGACTAGTAAAATACCAGCTGGAAGAAATGTTAGTTCGTTGTGTAGCTAAAGTCTCTTTTTCTAGTATGCAGCATGTTCTAAAAGCGTTTACTTCTTCTTCTTTTATTATAGGCGTAAGCAATATAGACGCCTATTAGTCATCAAAATCTGAGTTCAGTCTAGCCGCAGATTTTAATGTCTTTTATTGGTATTAGTATTAGGTGTACAACTTTGCTTCCGCCGTTTTCAGATAGGTGGCTGTACCGGCTGAGGCTGGTTGAAATACATAGATGATAATGCCTTTAAAGTGAGTGTGGACGGTGCCTAACGAATTGTCATCGCCGTTTCAGTGACAGTTGTTCTTGTTTTCGTATTATTCGCGCTCGAAAATGTCCGTTTATGTGCCTAATTTTCGCCATTTGCGGGAAGTTTTACTTTTCTGTTACAATTCGAAATAAAATGCAGCTGAAACACATCGAATGCTCTTAGAAACTTACGGCGATGCTGCTCTGAGTGAGAGAACGTATCGGGAGTGGTTTCAACGTTTTAAAAATGGTGATTTCGATGTCGAAGACAAACATTGTGGTGGAAGAGAAAAAACTTTCAAAAATTTACTTCGAGCTCTTAAAACCGGATGAAACCATCACAGGAGATCGCTACCGAACGCAACTGATGCGCCTTAGTCACGCGCTAAAATAAAAGCGGCCACAATATCAAGAGCGTCATGACAAAGTCATCCTCCAACACGACAATGCTCGGCTTCACGTCGCAAAAGTGGTGAAAAAGTACCTGGAAACGCTGAAATGAAAAGTCTTGCCCCACCCGCCGTATTCCCCAGATGTCGCCCCTTCCGACTTCCACCTATTCCGTTCGATGGCACACGGCCTGGCAGATCAACATTTTCAATCCTTCGAAGAATTGGAAAAATGGATTGCTTCATGGATAGCGTCAAAAGAGGTCTCCTTTTTTCGAGCCGGGTTCCGAAAATTGCCGGAAAGATAGGAGAAAGTTGCCGCTAGCGAAGGACAATACTTTGAATAATATATCTGTGAGCACTTTTTCGTAATAAAGCTTTTAATTTTGGATTAAAACGGCGGAAGCAAAGTTGTACACCTGATATTTTGAAAAACCCCATTATTCTAAAGGGTTTCAACACTCTAAGAATAATTTTCCATGAAACTAGTAATGCTTTTGAATGCCTTTAACACAAGATTCCGGTCTCCGACCAAATTACTCAACTCACTCTGTGAAATCAATTTCGGGCTGCTGATAACTTCAATGCAAAACTTAACTTGTCAAGTACAGTTCCGTCTTTAAGTAGCAGGGGTTTTGGACACTGGTATTTCCGTTTCATGAGGAGTATTCGAGTTTAACGGACTGACCATAAAAGCTATGAATAATGAATTGCGGTCGCCCCGCGACAGAAGAAAAACATTAATTACTTTGTCGAAGGAGAAAATCGCTTCAGGGACTACAAAGCGCTAATTACGAGTATATATATATATTCCTGAAACATCGTTTGATATAAAACGACTAGTCGAGAGAGCTTTCCTGCTGTGTGTTGAAACTTTCCTCAGGGCCTTTTTCAACATTTGATGAATGGTGAATATCTCATCAAGTGTATATTTCCCAGGTCTGAAGCTACACCGATAAGGTCTACACAGTTTTTCATCCAGGAGTTTAAACCATAGTAATAGGCACTGACTGTGCTAATAGGTTGTTCAGAGCTCACTAAAGTTCCAGTTCTTTCACCGCCATAGCTCTTCAGATAAGCCGTCAGCTCCAGCTATTTTGTTGTTCTTTAAACGGACAATCGCTATTCGAAGATCGTCACGCTCGGGTAAGAAACGTCTACACCATCATCATCTGTTGAAGATTCACGTTCACCACCTGCGGGTGTGGCCATTTTACTATCGTTCCGCAGGCCTGAGAAGTGCTCTATCCATAAACTTCATTTGTTCTGGGCATTAATCACCATACTACCTCAATTATTCTTACAGTTTCTCTATATGAAAAATACATTAGCTACTTTATTTTTATTTCTGAGAGTAAAAAATTCAACACGTACTGGTATTTAACTAGTATGAAGTTGATGCATAGTCTGATAATTTACATATTTCAGAAACTCGTCGTTTTTCAATATACAGGAAAAGGCAAACTAACAGCAATCTGGTAACCAAGTAGAAGCTTTTCCGAAAATTTACACTTTCCCAACCTCACTTTCTCTAGAATTGTTTAAGCTACTACTTTTATTCATACTTACGGTAACATACGCGCCAGCGCGTGTTTATGTAATGGCGAAATCTGTATGGCTGCTGATGCTATACTGGACCCTGAGTCCTGTGAAATGGTACGCTGTAGACGCGCATTTGGACGCGCCGCTTGCAAATGCTGTGCGCGTCGGAAGGGATAACGCCACGGACTCTTCGGCACATCAGCTTGAAAACTCTTATTGTCATGGCCACCAGGCACCATTGCGCTCGATGTAGCGCCGCCGCTTACACCCGACGTACCAGCGCCAGCGCCACCACCAGCATTACCACCATAATAAGCAGCCACATTACCATGATCACGTGCTTTGGAGGATAGACGACGTAAAATGCGCGAACCCAATCCAGGTGGATCCTCCAAACTACCAGCGCCGCCAACACCACCAGCCGCGGGGCCACGTTTACGATAGCGCACATCGCTAGACTCCTCCAGAATGACATGTCTATCATAGGGTGTGCCATAATACACTTCCAGCACGGTGGAGAAAGTATGCGGCCACACTAAGTCAATTATGGATATTAAAACGCCACAAATGAAGCAAAGGATACCTGGAAAGAGATAATTGATGAAAGGGGAAATAAAGGAGAGCAAAAAAACACAGCATGCGATTAACTTGTACATTCGACTCGACCTAATTGCAATCAACGTTAGTCATTCGTTGTAATACGCTGCTACACACCACTTACCTGCAACCAGCAGTAGCCAATAACACCAACCCAACTTGAACTCCAAGCGACCACCTTCTAAATAGATGATCAACGGACGCTTTGGCAGCATACAATAATAGCCAATATTGGTGCCAATAAGCAATGCGCCCGTCCACGCTTTCATATAAGCACCGTAACGTGGCACCGCGATGAGCAGCAGATTCATGAGCAGCCACGAGGCTAACGATGCCCACAGCATTATGCTGGCAAAATAGCCGGCCGCACGATATTGGCCACCCCAGCAAAAACCTTCACGGCCCTGACTGAAATATTCAGCCACTGTAAGTATTGGAAATGGAAGGCCACGTCTCAACGCATCGCGATAATTGGCACTCATATCGTTTGCGCCCTCCCAACCGAAGCGTTCATTGTAGTCCACATCCGGCGCTGTCCAATTGCCAACGGGTATGGCTGTATGTGGTGTGTACGTGTGTTTGTGGTAAATAGCGAGAGAGAGAGATAAGAGAAAAATAATAGTTTTTGATTAGAAACGTGATGACGTGAAATTTAAAAAGATAAAAAGCGGAAGTTGATATAAAAACAAAACGAGAAAACCATTAAAACGAACGAGCGTAATTTTTAACATACTTATATATTTTGTTTGTATGAATGTGGGTGTACAAAAAATATTTCTTCTATATAAATAGAATTACTTTTCATTTAAAATCGTTAATATAATTAAACTGAGAAATAATTTTATAAATTGAGATAGAAATTTATAAGATCGACAGCCAAAAGGGATTAAACTTAAACTTCTTTAAAGATGTGCTTGAATATACATATATATATATATATATTACATAAAAAATTGTTTAACTACATATTTACATACGTATTTGGGCAGAATTTTGCATATATTTTTCTATGCCATATTGCCTTTCGCCACTTGAACGTCACCATACCACTTTCCATATGCCTGTGTGCGTATGTAAGTATTCGACATATGTCAATAGTCAACAATCACTTTAGTAACTGTGCTACTATACTTATGAAAAACCCGCTAGAATCTTGTTTTTTTTTTTTAAAACTAATTAAAAATGCTAAACTTTCTAAAACTGTTTTATACACACGGAATTCCAGACAATTAGTATCGAAAGGCAAGATGAAAGAGCATGAAACTGGTCTTAAGGTGAATTTAAAAAAATTATAATACGAGTCTATTATAATTAGTCAGAATCGCCGTGACTAATGTTATGAAATGGTATTCACTGAAGAATAGTATTCTTTAGCGAATAGGAAAGACTTAAAGTATCTTCCAAATTGCTAATGCCATTTAACGGTCACGAAAGAGATGTATAACTGCGAAGCAATGTGCTTGAAATGTTACATATAAAGTGAGGTTAGGAACTCTAGGCACCTTGTTTTTATTTCAAGCAACTCTATTTCTTATTCTTATTGTTATTCTTATTCTTATTCTTATTCTTATTCTTATTCTTATTCTTATTCTTATTCTTATTCTTATTCTTATTCTTATTCTTATTCTTATTCTTATTCTTATTCTTATTCTTATTCTTATTCTTATTCTTATTCTTATTCTTATTCTTATTCTTATTCTTATTCTTAATCTTAATCTTCCTCTTCGTCTTCCTCTTGCTCTTGCTCTTCCACGTCATCATCTTCTTCTTCTTTCTCTATTTCTTCTTCTTCTTCTATTTTTTCCTCTTTAGTGACATAAACACCGTTTACTGGACGGGAATGATTAGTGACTTCAAGCTGGCTGTCTCCGGTTCAAAAAGTACTTGCTACTAGTTCTTTCGAGGGCCTAGCTCGTATCACTATCTCGTAGCAGAGAAGATACACCCCCACATCTGCGCAACAGCGCCTGTCAAGGAAGATTCGCCGTCAAAACAGACAGCCGATCGGTTTGCTACTGGTCAACTCCGTACAAGGGAGCCTCCACGGAAATCAATAGTTATTTTCAACGAGTCCTTGAGGCAGGGAAGAGAAGCTACAACTCTGTAATCGACTGGGGCACGCATTATGTGAAGGAGATAACTACAGTTGACGATAGTAGCGGGACGCATTTGCAGACCACAACAAAGAGGCTGAAAGTGAAAGCTGACGATACCACTGAGAATGAGGTCACGAAGAGAAGGTTATACAACCGAAACATATTAACCAAGAAAATAATCTGTTGACCCGTTGTACATAGTATACTGATGTTAATTTAATACACCAAAACCGATTATGAAGAACACCAAAGAGATATTGTTCGCCTGTAGAATAACATTGACGTGGCTGCCGGTGGGTTGCCGCCTGATTGAAGCCTAAGTGCCCACAAAGCATATAACATATTTATAAGGTCTTATTTGGAAATTGTATGAAAGATTCAAGACCACCGCCAACGAGTTCATGGAACCTCAACTTTACCTACTCAGCATAAGCGAGGTTTCAGACAGGGTTATTCTTTAACGTGTCGGAAATTTGCATTAACCCGGACAACTTTATTAATCTTTCAATGGTAAGGTGGGTATTATATAGCGGCTTGCACTTGAATTTAATTCCTTTTACAATGGACAGACCATTCAGACGTGAATTAAAGAGGCGGCTTAGAAATAACGGTATACAGTTTCTATATCTACATATAGACATATGAACAAGTGCCAAGTTTTATTTCACTTTTTGTTGTCATTTCCCAACAACCTAATAAAATAATTTATTTTATACCTCCACTTTCAACAACCATACCAAATGACTTACTATATCTACATTCTTGCATACATATGTATGTATGTATTTATTATATATGCATCAGGGTGCTAATACAAGTCAAGTTCTCGACAACGACGCGTAAACACAGAAATTTGTGGCATTTGTGCGTAATAATTTCATTTATCAACAAACAAGTGGAAATAGTAGGCTTGCTTATACATATGTCTGTACGAAGAAATATGCAAACCCCCATATACATACATATATATTCAAAGAAGTAGCGCCAAACTCGTATTACCAATTTGTAGTGACGCCAAAAAAGGTGCTGGCGCCGTTGGTTGGTTGGTTGGTTGGTTGGTTCACCTGACCTTCACCGAAATACAAGGTTACCACAACAACAATAACAAAAAAGAGAACACCAGCATATTTACAACAGAAAAATGGCATAAAAATCATCGAAAACGCATATGAAATGGGCACTAGTTCATCGTAAGCTTACCAAAACAAAAAAAAATAAAAACAAAAACAAAAGCAATCACCAATGTGGTAACAGCGTCGAACAAGAGCAATGCGTATGAGTTACAACAACAAAAAGTGAACAGCAAATGCTCGCATGTGTGTGTATATATATTAATTTTTGCGGTCAACCGGTGGAAAAAGAACACCATACGCATGCGTATAGCCCGGAAAAATAATACAAAAACAAAAAGCAAAAAACGGCTGCGCAACAGCTCAACAGAGCCACTTGCGCGCACCACCACTTGTCACCTCCATATGTAAGCTTTCAACTGTAGCACAGTATAAATGCGTGCAACGAACTACTACCGAATGGTGTAGCGTACGAAATTCAGTTGAAGGTCATAGTGGTTGGCGGGCAGCGAGCGGCGACACACTTGTAATCAATCGCCACCAAATCAGGTTTTCCTATCAAAAGCCATTAAACTGTAAAAATGTAGCGTTTCTTAAGTCTGAAATTATGCACTCGGAATTCGCTTAGCAGATACTTGCATCTCGTGCAACGGTGTATGTAAGTATACCTCTTTTGTTACGAATCCAAGCAAAAGTTAAATTTAAAAAAGCAACAACAATTTGCTCTCAACTCAACTTAGCTGTGACTGACGCAGAAAAGAATTGTGGCTTACTTTACCTCCCCTGCCCATCACTTAACTGGGGGCACTAAGTGTTTGTTACTCTATTTTGGGATCTGTTTCAGTTTCAGTTTAGTGCACTTGGGCTAGCTGAGATCGTATTCATTTCAGTTGCGGCCAGTTCAACAGCTGAGGAGTACGATATTATGTTTTGGTTTTTGCTTTCAATGCTAGTTTAACCGGTATATTTTATGCTTTTATTCCGTATTAATGTATTTTTCACTTCTAAACTTTTTGCGTTCTATGGGTATCCTGTATTCACAAGGTGGAGAGCAAATATGTAATTTCTTTTGTTATGGCATTTTATTTTATTTGCTTTTAGTTTTTTCAATTCAATTTTTTTTTTCGATTTATATTTATATAAATCATTTCAAATTAGTTCTTTTATTGTACTTTATTTCTTTTAAATTTTTGTTACTTTTATTTCACTCAACTTTAAATTTTTTATTTTACTTTTTTTCATAAATTTACGTCATTTCATTTTGCTTATTTTTTTTGTTTTGTTTTATTTTAGTTAATTTATTATATTCATTTATTTTTTAATTTAATGATTAATTTAATGATAATTTATTTTTTTTTAAATAATTTTTTTAGTTTAATTTCATTTAAATTTCTTTTGGCTTTTGTTAATTTTTAGTTAAATTAATTTTATTTCATTTCCCTACATTTTATTTCATTTACTTCTTTTTAATTAGTTTTTTATATTTTTCTTAAGTTTATTTCATTTTATTTTTATTTATATTATATTCATTCATTATATTTCATTTTATATAACTATTTTGCAGTTTTATTTCATTTAATTTAAATCGCTGTATTTTTTATTTACATATACAATTTTTAATTAACTATTTTATTATATTTTAATACATTCAATTTTGATTAATTTCATTAATTTATCCTTTATTAACTTTCTTTTAACTAATAACATTTTTTTTTAATTTTTTTTATTTTGTTTTATTTTAGTTAATTTATTTTACTTTTTTATTTAAGTTTATTTTTTAGTTTTTTTTGTAGTAATTTTTTTAATTTTTTTTATTTCATTTCATTTTATGTTACTTGATACTTTTATGTTTAATTTTATTTTAATTTCTTTTGATTTCCTTTAATTTTTTTATATTTATTTTATTTTAATTTGCTGGATATATTCGTTTACCTAACACTATGCATGTCATTCTCTTCTTTATATGCTGTCATTTTCTTACATGTATAACCATTCGTCTATGCTTTGTTCTTTTATTCTCTTTGTAACTTAAAACTTGCTTCTGGCTTTAAACCTCGTGGAGCAAAGATCAACTTGTAGTTTATCTCTAAACATATAATGAATTATATATATATATATATATATATATATATTTCCTTTCATTTTATTTTATTTTATTTTATATTTTATTTTATTTTATTTTATTTTATTTTATTTTATTTTATTTTATTTTATTTTATTTTATTTTATTTTATTATTTTATTTTAATTTATTTTAATTTATTTTATTTTATTTTAATTTATTTTATTTTATTTTATTTTACTTTTTTAATGTTTTCGAATTACTCACTGTTGTAATGTTTGCATAAAATAAGCTAGAAAATATAAAGCAGAACTAACATTTTTTAATGC